CCATCATCACCACCATCATCACCACCATCACCACCATCATCACCACCACCATCACCATCATCATCACACATCACCACCATCATCATCACCATCATCACAGGACCTGAGTTTAGCCTTGGACACACTCATACAGTATTTCTGGAGTAACTTTGCTGTTTGCACAATTTGGTTGTCCAGTTGACCATTTATAATAGTTTCAGTACAATGTTTCAGTACATGGATTCAGCACATGGATTTCCATGCTTCGGTACATGGATTCAAAAAAGCTGAAACCTCTCGCCCTGATAATTTAAACAAATCCCGAGTGTGGCCTTGGTGGGCGTGATTTACGTGTTGGCCGTTGTGCTTCTGGAATAAATCTCCTGCGAGGAGGTTTTTGACAAGGACGCAGGGGAGCCTCCGCGCACATGCGAGGAGGGGGAGGGGTGGGTAGCAGGACCCTTCCCTGCAAACAGCCGCACTGCGTGGGTGAGGGACGCGTCTCTGTTTTGGATTTGCAGTCTCGGTGCTCTGCGATGGGAACCATCTGCGCTGGCTGGCCGCCTTCCACGCCGCCGGCCCCGCCCCCGCCTTTGTTCGGCTCTTTCAGCTCCTGCCACTCTGTGCCCTCACCCTCACCGGCCAGCCCAGCTCCAGCCCCACCCCTGCAGCAGCGTGGCCCCAGGCTGCTGCCTCCCGGCTCCCCCAGCGCGCCCTGCACACGCCAAGAGTGGGCGTTAAAGATCTCTCCTTTCTGGGAGGGAAAACTGTGGGAAGGGCCTTAGCAGGAGGGAGCGGGGAGTCCTGCAGAGGCCACTGCAGTGGTCCTGGTGGCACACAGTGGGGGCCGGCGGGAGGGACACCGGGTGTGCGGTTAGAGCTGTAAGGGCGCTGAGGCTCTGGCCGTGCGACTCCGTGAGTAGACCCGTCTCTAACCAAAATATGAACACGCTTTTTGTTTCTTCGAAAGCCCCCGTAGCACACGGCGACATAAGCACTCAGCAGTGCTGAAGTGTCACTCACTGACGTGTGGCTGCTGCACACAGTAGGGTCACACGATCACACACACACGTGCACAGGGCATCCAGGTGCCAGGCTCTGAGCACTTTACTTGTGTTATCATCTGTGCAGCTCCCTCCCTGGGAAGTGTGCACATCCGACATTCCCTGCTGTACAGAGGGGGAAACCGAGGCACACTGAGGTCAGGTGAGGGTGCAAAGGCAGAGCCGGGGTTCACACTCATTGTGCCTTCACCTCCCCGACAGGGGACACCTCCAAAACAGAGCAATCCCGAGACTCTGTATTTAGCCACACAGAAAAGACTGATGACGGTTTCAATAGCATGTTTTATTTTAATCTAAGAAAAGTGATTAAATTCAAAGGTCAGAAATATAAAAGATTATCCAAAAAGTTTGGGATTATAGCTGTCTCTTAAACAACCTTGACAAGTACTTGGGCTGGGCTGTGGCTCCAAAGGGTGGGTTTCTGCTTTTGCGCAGTTTAAATAATAAGCCCCATTCGGTACCGTCACGCACATCCCCAGACGAAACTTTACACGTCACGTTTTGGGTGATTCGGGGCCACGAGGATGTGTTTCCAAACACAAGTCTGGGCTGAGATGGCCTCAACCCGCAGGCCCGGCTCTGGGACCCCTCGGCATGGCCCCACAGGGACGGAGCACGTGGTCCCACCTCTGCCGGGGTCCGAGGCCAGCAGCTGGCGTGAGCCGCAGGCGGGTCCCGCTGTCCGCAGCGTGGGCGCCCCACTCCCGCCCCTCCCACCAGCTGCCACCGGTGAGTCCTGGAGGCCTTGGGGACAGAATGGAGGAAACCGTGGGTCCCCCAGACAGTCCTCCTTGGCTGCAGAGGAACGCCCGGGGCACGGTTCGGCCCGGCTGTGTCTCATTAGGGAAGGGGGCTGTATAATTTCCTCAGGTGATAATTTACCTCCCCGGGGGCCCTGGTGGGCCGAGGCAGGAGGGAAGTGGCCACGTGCAGGGAAGCAAGGCCGTGCGGCGCGGCCGTGCGGCAACTGGATCCACTCCCCTGCGGGAGGGGCCCCTTCTGGGCTGGCTCCCAACAGCGGGAGCCCTTCTCTGGGAATTTGATGGCAGGATTAATCCAAGCCCAAGGCAAGACTCAAACAGAAGCTTGAAATGGGAAAAAACAAAGACAGTTGGAAACAAACTATCACACCAAAGATCGTTTGAAAATATTCTTTCCTACCAGGGAGCTACCTGCATTTAATTGGATTGCTTTAGTGGTTGCACAATTCGTCGTGTCAGTGCCGCCTCTGGAAAGCAAAAACAAAGCAAACACAACTTCCCAGAAAACAAACCAACCCATGAATGTTAACTGCACGACGGTCGGCAGAACTTACAGACTTCCACGAAAACCTGGAGCTCCCAACGCAGTCTAACACAGACCCTGCAAGTACCGCAGACCGTGAGTGACGGCTCTGGTTAGGGGAAAAGACGCAGCACTGGGACCAAAGTGCCTTACGCTAAGATTTCTACTGTTAAAATGTGTAGGACGGAGAAATTAAGCTTAAATGCATTCAGAAATTCGTCTCCACCAAGCGCAGATTTCCAAGGTCAGAACAGGGCACATACATTGTATGTGATTAATTTTGCAAAGCCAGCTTTCACAGATCAAAACAGTCTGTTTAAATAGCTCCTTTCTACAAAGTGAATTTACATTTAAAGTACAAAGTGCAAATACTATGTGTTTTTGTTTTTGAAATTGCTCTTTGGTGAGGGAGTTTCCCACATGTCTCGGAACTGCCTTGGCTGTGGGCGGTTCATCCTTGCTTCCTCGGCTGGAAAACACAAAGACAAAAAAAAAAGAGACATCGTTGAAAGAAGTTTTTGCATCACTCATCCGTGGAGACCCAGGCCTGCATTCTAGGGATAAAATATACGGGAAAAGCAATGTTTTAAAACAGACACAAGGAGAAAAAGAGCTGGGCTAATAACCATCTTAGTTGAAAGGATTCACGAAAAACAACGAAGTGTTTTCCGGCTCTAGTAACTTCCTAACACTTTCCCCCCTTGACAGAACTAGAAACGCCAGGAAAAATATGTGAGTGGATAAGATTAGCATTTGCTTCAAATACTGTCAGTGGACTAAATATATTCAATGTTCCACAGAATCTCCCATCACCATCACCATGGATTCATTATGCAAAAATAATTTTAATAATCTAATTTAGGCTTCAAATCTGATAAGGGCACAGCTGATTTTTAAGTTTTCTATTTCATCTTTTCCATTCACTATTTTAGCATTCCAAGAAGAAAAGTGACCTGAAAAGTTTGTAGATACTGATATAGGACTTATTTTTTCCAAATGTTCCAATTCTTACAAATATAAGTCGATCCATGCTTCTGTTTTGTTTTTTTTTTTTTAATTTAAAGAATTAAAGTTTAGGAGACTTCTGTGTTGGCTTTTATTCCCATTGATAAAGACCTGAGGAGGTGATGAGGAAAGAGAACAATATCTCTGCACGAACCTGGCGAGAATCTCTGCTTTAATTAGTTAGGAAGAACGACAACGTGGCCGAGTATTTTACCAGTTACTGAAGGTGTCAGAATGGTTGGAGGAGGGGGGCTGACATGTCCACCTGTGTAAACATCAGCTTCACTGTGTAGCTCTGGTCACTTGTTAATGGTGACGAAAGCAGGAGGTCAAGGTGCCCCTGCTCACCTGTGATTGAATGCTAGCTCCATGCCTCCTATCAGCCCTTCACTCGGCCTTTGTCGTCTGTGGTTATTCACACAGGGAAAGGTCTGGTGGCTGGTGCTACTTTACTCTTCAAAGAGACATTTATTGTCTGCAGTTGCCACATCACCTGCAGGGCAGCTGCCCACCCGCCGGGACTCCACCCCGGACCCCAGTCTGCAGGCCCAGCCCCTGGAGTAGCGGCCTGAAGTTGGTACATCCTTTCAGGCACCATAACAAGAGCCGGAGACACTGCTCTAGTTTGTTTTTCTGGGAAGAAGCAGGAGAGCGGGGCTCGTGCCCTGAGCTGGGCTTGTTTAGGGTTGCGTGGTGCACACGTGTGCTGTAATTGCCGTTATCTGATGAAAGCAGCCCTTTGGGGGTCTGTGGGCTCATGGGGTAATCGCTTTCAGGCCAGCCCTGTTCTACAGCGTGAGTGATTTGCGGTGGGATGTAAAACGTTAAAACCATAAGCATTTGCTAAACAAAGGAAAACGTATCACACCTCTTCCCTAATGAAGTGGTTTTAGGTTACATCCAAGGTGTGTGTTGGAGGTCTCCACTTAAAACCCACCGCAAATCCAGGGGCTTGCCTTAGGAGATGCCAACCTGACATTAAACAGGTGCAGAATCAACAACAAATTGAGTAGTGCCCCCAGAGAGAGGAGAGTTTTGCCCTGGCTTGAGTGGAAGCAGACCGCGGTACCATGACTGTGTCGGGCAGTTGCATGTGGAGGGAGAGACTCAGAAACACAAGCCCGTGTTTATGAACACTGGCGGCAGGGATTGAAAATCCCTTTTGGACCCCAACACTTGTCTCATTAGGATTGGAATAGAAGAACGGTCACTCGTGTGCCAGGAGTGTGCTGTTCACACAACCTGAACAAAACGCAGGAGATAAAATCACAAACACCCAGACAACAGTTTTAAAAAAGCAACTATTTCCACAAAGCAAGGGAACTCAAATTTAAAAAAGTAATAATAATGGAAATTTTAAATAATTTAAAAAATGGGGCAAAATCTTCACGTTAATGATTTGACAAGTTGACCATCTCAGATGGGATTTGGCGAGGCTGTTATAGTTCCCACAGGGCAGGTTGCCAGTCCTGCACTGTGTCTTCTCTTGGAAAAAACTGCCCTTTGCAAATTGACATAACCCTGAATCGTCATCGTCTATAATTAAACCAGCAAAGTGTTAAGGGTAAAATAGAGACATACTCACCTGTCTATTGGAAGTGCTTTCAGTATTACCTCTAGGGGCTGGCAAGGGGGAAAAAAAAGATATTATTAAAAATCAAATATTCTTCATTTAATGAAAGGTCCACTATAATCTCAGGAAGGGGTCTGTGCCGCTTTATGAAGGTGTTGTCAACTGGCAAATTTCTTTGCATGAGAAAAAAAATATCAGTTGTGCCTTAGAACCTGAGAGGAATTGGTTCTCGGACCCCGGCACAGGGAAATCTGCACCTGCTCCAGGTCCTCACGTAGAATGGCGCAGAGTTTGCACTGAACACACGCATGCCCTTCTGTGTGCTGCAAACCATCTCTGGGTTACTTTTCACGCCCTGTACAAAGTAAAGGCTATGTAAATAGCTGCTATACTATATTGCTCTTTATTTGTATTGTTTTAATTTTTGTGTTGTTATTGTTTGTATTATTTTTTTCAAGCATTTTCCATCTGCAGCGACTGAGTCTGCAGAAGTGGGCTCTGTGGGTATGGAGAGCGGACCCCATGCGCGAGGAGTGTGGGTGACGAGTATCGCATTGCTACAGTCACCGTGTAGACGGGTTCTGACACCGCAAATGCACCAGTGCAGCAGAGGAGGACGTTTCGTTCCGCGCCAGACTCCAAAGGTAAATCCGATGACTGTGGAGAGTTTCTTGCCGGCGAGTCCCAAACTTTCCCCAGAAGAGAGAGAATTCCTGCCTCTGTGATGCTGGGAATGAAGCCGTAATGCACCAAGGACCAGTTCTTCTCAGTCTTTTAGTTTTATGTCAAGGTCATGAAAAAAATAACACGTTTGCTCAAAATAATTTTGCCCAAATCTTCAAGTGAAATCGAAGCCAGCGGGAGCCTTGGGGCTAGTTCTGGGGCTTCCCTGCCCAGGCCGGGATGGAGCAGCCTGCTGGGTCTTCTGCTCTGGGTCCAGCGTCCACACTTCTGTCTCCAAGGAGACGTCCCTGGGAAGCCCCTGCCCTCCACTGCTGTGTGTCTGGCGACTGTCTCCGAGCTCTTCCCTACCTGTCAGGGGCAGCCCCTGGATTCCCACCTGGTTCCCAGGCTCTCCTCCATCCTGGAGAGGTGGGAGGACAAGCTCCACGCAGCGCTGTGTCCTCTCGTCCCCCATCCCCGCTGTCAGCTCCTCCCCTCCCTCCCCTGCCATCACCCCTGCAGGGCACTGGGGCCTCATCCCCGCCCTGCGACACCCGCCCACTGGGGTCTCGCCCAACCTTGCCCTGTTCAACAGAGTCTGCTCCCGATGGCTTGCCAGGGCATGGACGCCGGGGCCTTCAGTCCCGAGTCTGAGCCCCAACTTCATTATGTCCCCATGGGGATATGTAACAGGCGGCTCAAAGGAAACTGGACGGCGCCCAACTGTCACCTGCCCTTTAAAAGCCACTTCTGGCCAGGTGTGGTGGCTCACACCTGTAATCCTAGCACTCTGGGAGGCCAAGGCGGGAGGATGGCTTGAGCTCAGGAGTTTGACACCAACCTGAGCAAGAGTGAGACTCTGTCTCTACAAAAAATAGAAAGAAATTAATTGGCCAACTAAAAATGTATAGAAAAAATTAGCGGGGCATGGTGGCACATGCCTGTAGTCCCAGCTACAGGGGAGGCTGAGGCAGAAGGATCGCTTGAGCCCAGGAGTTTGAGGTTGCTGTGAGCTAGGCTGATGCCACGGCACTCTAGCCCAAGCAACGAGAGTGAGACTCTGTCTCCAAAATAAATAAATAAATAGATGCTGCTTCTGTTGTCATTCACTTCTCAGGGTGCAGCAGCCCTGCTCTCAAGCTGCCCAGGGCACACTGTTGGTGGCCACCACTCCTGTCTGCCCACGCTGCCCACCTCACCCGTGAGCAGGCCCACCTCACCCGTGAGCAGGCCCTCTGGGTTCTACCTTCAGGAACTTCTAGCACCTGCTGCTCAATCATCTACCTCTGCCCCAGGGACCAGCAGAGCCCTCACCCCACCGCTGTCCTCCCTCAGCCCTCCCCATCTGTTACGTACACCGACACGGCAACACAGGACCCTTCATTCCTGCACGCCCCTCCCGAGGCCCCTCCTGTGCACACAGGCCAAACTCTCTGGGTGCTGCTGGGCTGGGCTCAACCCCACCTCCTGCTGTCTCCAGGATGCTCCCTGCTCCCCATGGACTCCTATCCACTCCTGGAGCCTGCGGGCACTTGCTGTTCCTGCAGACTGTGCCCCACCTGACAGGACACACCTGGTTCTCTCCTGTGCCCATTACAGGTCCCCACCCTGGTGGCCTCTCTGCCCCTCCCCATGAGGTGCCAGCCACCCTTGCACTTTCCTAGCTCAAGTCCCCACCGAACCCTGGCTCTTCTCACTCATTTGACGACCTGTATGCCTGCCACAGCGCACGCCCTAAACAGGCAATGTTTGTGTCTCTTCCGTGTACTGTGTGGTCAGTGTCTTGGACAGCAAGTCCTCCGTGACTAGCTTCCAAGTGAGTGGACAGGTAGCGGGGAGGGTCCCGCATCCCAAATTCCTTGCTATTGTGTTTATTTCTATCTGCTCAATAAAAAAAATACAGAGAAAAGAGTAAAATTATTCTATTTCCAACTCTGTCTCCTCTTGTCAAACAGAAACACAATGTGAACAGGTGAAATACAAATGTATTAAGTAAATTGCAAATGTCTTAAACAGTAGCTAAGTCTATTATTTTCATCAACGTGTCAGAATAACTTGCACTCATCCACTTTGTTTTCCTGAAATCAGTGGTTCCCAACCTTTTTGGCACCAGCGACTGGATTCACGGAAGATAATTCTTCCACTGATGGGAGTGGCGGGGGGAACTCTGCAGCCTGGTTCCTAACAGGCCCTGGGGGTTAGGGACCACAGCCTCAAATGACTACTTTAGAGAAAAAATAGGCTTGGTGGCTAACGGTTCAAAATTAAAGACTATTAATGTGATACTTGAATCTATTCTGAGCTTATTTGGCTACTCAGCAATTGCCAGGGTTTTTTTGGATTGTTTTATAATGAATGCCAACCTCCCTGACACTGTAGCTATAGATTAAAAATAAGTTTCAGTAAGAAAAGTTAATATTCTTATATGTGAGGAACAAAAGCCTTGCTAAATAGATGAAAAAAATATAAATTTCATTAATGACACCTGGCAGACTATTTTATGTAAGATGCAGTAGGAAAAAGCACTATTTAAAATATATGAAAGGAAGGAAAATAATAAATTATTAATTAATTGTAATGGAAGATAATGTAAATCATCAAAGTAAATATGCAACAATGTTACATGAACAAAAATAGATTTCAGCGAGGCTGCAGGAGAGAGAGACTATGCATCTCACAACCATCTAAATAAAGTTCAGAACCAGTTGGGACTGTTTACATCATCTGGTATCAAATGACAGTGATTGTTTCCAGGTGACCTTGCAAACAGCAACGTGGCTTAAGGAAATATGCCTGAAAGACACGTAGCTAGCATGACAATTTGGTTGAAAAAGATAATGTGGTAAAAAATGAACATTTCCTAATTGCTGAGTTTCTGTGTAATGGTAATTTTGGAGAATTATGAGGGCACATAGTAATCTTGTGTAATTATTTTTGTTTCTGAATTCTTCAGAAATATGTCCTTTCTTGGCTTTATAATTTTTCAATCATTTTCAGGCAATTATTTCTCTTTTGCATTTTTAGTAGCAAAAATGTACGTCAAACTTTTCAATACTGTGTCTTAGTTGCAATAATTTAAATGCAAATTCTTTTGTAATTGCTTAAAATAAGTGTGATTAATTTAGAAAGTACGTATATTTATATTATGATCCCATTTGTAGGGAAAAATCATAGTACACGTATACACATGCATAGAAATAGTGTTTGGAAAGATATGGAACTAGGTCTATTTATCTCTGAGAATTAAGGTCAAATGTTATGTTTTTTATTTGATTTCTCAGTTTTTAGAATATAAAAATGCATATTTACTTGTGAGAAAAAATACAGGAAACAAATGAAACTAGTAGCAGTTTGAATATTTAGAGGGTCCCAACTAATTCCCCCCTGCATATTTAGGTTTTCCTGACTTTTCACTATTTCAAACAATACACAGTAGAAAAAAAATTAGCTAATAATAAAATGGGGGGGGGCACAGTAGGAAAAAACATAGAAAAACTCTGTAAGGAAAATGAAAGTGTTGCAAAATCAACTAAATATGCGTTCAAATCCCCAATGCTCGTTTTTAACCAAATTGCTACTTTTACCAAATTGTAGCTTATTTTAGGGGTAGATCATGTACTTTCTTCTTGGTTACTAATAAGACAATAAAGCTCAGATGTATCCAATTGTTCAGAGGGACCTAAAGAAGCTAACTCAAAATTCTGCAGAAATTTAAACCCTTCCAGTAAGTGACGGTGACACCAAGAGAGAGCGTCCTGTGCCCGGTCACTCACGCCCCTCCCTGTCGGGCCTGTGCCCGCCCCTCCTGTTTCTATTTCTGCTATTTCTATGAAAACGCTACATGTTAAAACGGGGCTGTGTAGGTGGACACAGGACCTTCCTTCTAACTCAGGGCCCCAGCGCTCCTGTCTGCAGGGAGGTGGGAATTTGAAGCAGTCCCCAGTCCTCCACGACGCTGGCTCCGGAAGATTCTGCACAAAGAGGACGTACTCGGTCTAGAAACCCCTGGCTGCCTCTCCATAGTAGAGGTCTCCTCAACTGTGACGCAGCTCCGACCCTCTGCAGCTCCCCTTCCATGAAGCCAGTGAGCACGCACACACTGGCTCGGGGCCGATCTGAGTGACACCTTCAGTCAGATGTTCTGGTGCACACACACACACATGCACACGCATGCACACACAGGCACACACACGTGACACATGCACACTGGGAGTGTCCTCACACTGGGCACCCACACACCGTGTGACCCCCAGGGACTCACTCCTCCTTCATTGACGGTCTCTCCAGCACCTGCTCCCCGTCAGGCACAGTTCTGGGGCCAGGGGCACAGCCCCTGAGGGTCCCCAATCCCCAAGGGTGGAAAATGTCGGGAAGCAGGAAAAACCACAGAAGACATAGAATGGTGGAGTGCTGAGGGGAAACAGAGCGGAACAAAGGGAGAGAAAGTGTTGGGCTCCTGGGAGGAGCAGTTTTAGATCAGGAGACAAGGGAAGTCTTGGATAGAAAGGAGCGTCCTGGTGAAGCCCCACAGGGTGCGGGAAGGGAGACACGCAGGTGTCTGGCGGGACAGCCTTTCAGGAAGAGGCAGTCCTTGGGGCAAGGGCACACCTGGGGGATGGCACACCTGGGGAAGAACATACCTGGGGGAAGACACACCTAGCAAGATAGTCAGGGCACACCTGGGGCCAGGGCACACCTGGAGAGGAAGGGAGGGCACACCTGGGGCCAGGGCACACCTGGAGGAGCAGGGAGGGCACACCTGGGGTGAGGGTGTACCTGGGAAAGAACACACCTGGGGCCAGGGAACACCTGGAGGGGAAGGGAGGGCACATCTGGGGTGAGGGTGTACCAGGGGAAGAACACAGCTGGGGCCAGGACACACCAGGAGAGGCAGGGAGGGCACACCTAGGGTGAGGGTGTACCTGGGAAAGAACACACCTGGGGCCAGGGAACACCTGGAGGGGCAGGGAGGGCACACCTGGGGTGAGGGTGTACCAGGGGAAGAACACACCTGGGGCCAGGACACACCAGGAGAGGCAGGGAGGGCACACCTGGGGTGAGGGTGTACATGGGAAAGAACACACCTGGGGCCAGGGCACACCTGGAGGGGCAGGGAGGAGGCCAGGATGGGTGGAGTCCGGGTACAGGACAGGGCAGAGAGGGACACCTGGAGGTGTGGGAGGTGAGGGGACGACATCACGTAGAACTTGTAGTCGCTGAAGAGACCTTTCCCCGCAGAGTGAGGCGTGGCTCCACTGGGAGGCTGTGGTCACAGCAAGACGTGACTCAGCCTTCAACAGGGCACCCTCGGTGTGTGAAGGGGCAATTCGCAGGCGGGGGAGGCAGGAGCCAGCCCAGGAGGCTACTGAAGGATTCCAGATGACAGCAGTGGGTCTGTGGCTGTCTCCCTTCTCCTCCTCCAACAACAACTCCTCCTCCTCCTCCTGGTTAACCCTTTTTTCACCAGACCACCGCCTGGCCGCACCCGCTTTGCTTCCAGCTCTGGTCTGGCCGTCCGGACTCCGCGTCGCATCCCCTCATCTTCCCAGCCTCCCAACTTCAGCGCGGCCCGGGCTCGCCCCTCCTCCCCACGGGCGCTTGCAGAAGGCCTCTTCCTGCCCTCCATCCTGAGAGGCCGTGAGCGCTTCCTCCTCTCCAATCCACCTGCATCCTGGGCGTGTTCTCTCCGCCGAGACCTCGCAGGGCCTCGCGGGCCGTGAGAGGGGAACCGACGGCAGCTGCTCCGGGTCCCTCCCCGCGCCCACCGCGGTAGTTAGTGACCAACCCCCTCCAGGATCTTGAGCCGACACCCCCCACTTGCACAAGGGGGGCCTTGCCAGGGACGGAAGGTCTAGAATAGCCGTGGGACTTCTCGGTCTCGCCCTGCAGACAGCAGAAGGGCCACCACGTCCGGCGTGTGACCTCTGCATACGGAGCAAAGCCAGGCGGCCTCGTGGCTGCCACGTGGTCTCCAGGACAATGTCGCCAGGACAACAGAAGTGCAAGTGGCCAAGGGAGCCGAGAAAACACCTTCTAAGTAACTAAGGCTCGGCTTCCAGAACTGGCTTCTTGCAGAGAAAGCAGAACAGAGCAGAACCTCGCAGAGACTCAGATCTAGCTGGAATGGAGTTTAGCGGATGATGTTGAGTGACCGTCAGGACAAGCACCATGGACACAGAAAAAAGCGAAGAAATGCGGCATTGCCTTCTAGAAGCCTCATCCAGATCAGCTCCAAGGGTCTGTGCTTCACAGCCGAGATTCGGCACAGGCTGGCCGCAGACCGCACAGGACGCCAGGGCTCCAAGACACACACACACACACACACACACACACACACACGCACACACACACACACACACACACACACGTGCTTTCCCACCCACGGTGCTGCCGAAGGTGATAACAGAATAAAAGAAGCATAAAATGCCAGTGAGGGGGCAGGACCCCAGCCCCACCCAGCCCCCTGCTGTTCAAATGAGGAGACTGAGACCCCCGTGGGGCCATCGTGTCCAGCACACGCGTGTAGCCAACTGCCTGGCCCTGCGGCCCCAGCCTCGGAGACCTGGCTCTCCCACGCATGTTGCCCATGCGTGGACACGTGGGCTCTGGCTGCAGTAGGATTCTCTCTCTCTCTTGTACTGGTTGCTTATCTAGGCCAGGCAACTAAGCAACTAGTTAGGCCTGGCCTAACACACACACACACACACACACACACACACGCACACACACGCACGCACACACAAATTCTATTGGTAAAACAGCTAAAACCACTGCTCTGAATAACAGCAGTTATTTGACTGCTTGCCTGCTGGCCTGCCTGTCTGGCTGGAGTCCGAGTTGTGGGGGTGGGCAGTTACTTCCAGTGACTCCCAGGTTTGCATTCAAATACCCGGAGACCAAACGTGTTTGGAAACCGGGCCACTATGACTCGAACGCTACAGACCCATCCTCAGATCGGCACTCAGCTCGTGGGCAGAGGCACACGAGCCCTCCTGCCCCAGGGGCAAGCTGCTGCTGGCTTAGTATGGTCTGTCATTTGCTCTGCAGGCAGGTGGCCTGCAGTTAAACGGCCTGCTGCGTTTTTCTTGCACCCTCAGACCACGAGGACTAGCTACGGGGACGCAGGGAGCAAACCGCACGGGCATCAAGGTCTGACGCGTCGCAAGGGGTGAGGGAAGTTAAAGCTCTTACTGTGGCGCTTCTTTGTGCTGGCTTTGCCTTCCTCCTTCGTGACGCCCAGGCAGCCCATCAGCTCCTGCACGGAGATGGCCTTGTCGTTGTTCACGTCGCAGTATTCCACAAACTTCTTCACGCATTTCTTGGGCTTCGACTTTTTCCGAAGGAATCTCTTGAAGGGTTTGATTTCCTTCTTGCCGATGTCCCCGCTGGAGTTTTTGTCCAGAAGCTTGAAATACCAGTGCACCACCCTCTCCTCCAGCGTGTGGCTGGGGTCGGGTTCGGAGAGCCTGCGGGGGGCACAAGTCGGTCAGGACAGGGACCGCGTGGCCGCCTCTCCTTGGCCACGCCTGTCCCCCCACCACCCTCCCCGCTCGGTGGCTCTCACGGTCTGGAGTCTGAGCCTGCGTGTTCCACGTACTGCTCACCAGATACAACAATTGGTAAAAGTTATTTAGAAAATGGATTTGGCAAACATTTTTCAGGCTAGGTTCAAAATTGCAACTGAGGCGGTGCATCTGTGCAGGCCAGCGGTGCAGACTCACTGCTGCCAGCTTGGGGGAATACCTGGTCCTCGAAACGCTGCAGCAATAAAAATACCTAGCGCGACCTGTAGCAGGTGGGCAAGAGCCGGAGCAAGCTCACCTACCTCCACCGTGGAGGTGGCACAAAGGTACGTCTACAAACATGCCTCAGGTTTCAGAAATCCTATTTTGAACAGTGTGAATGTAACTGCTGCTACTCGATCATACATTTGAAACTGGCTGAGATTGCAAATTTGTGGGCCGTATATTTTGCCACAGTGAACAAATCATATTTTGAGAACTTCAAACATTTCCACTCAAAGTATTTAAAATCCGAGCTGGGAGTCTAAAATGCAATCCCACTGCACAGGGCCACGGGAAGGAGGTGCCCGGTCCCCCTCCCTTTTCTCCTCCCGGCCTCACCCCACCGCCTGCAGGCACGGTGACCCTGCCCCACGGAACCCCTGGGAATCACATGTGCAGGGCTCTGCCCTGATGACACTGTCCTCCGGGATTTAGATGTGTTACGAGAAAAACATGCTACTTCATGTTTTTGGAGAGAATACCCTTATTTTTTAGGTCTTAATGCGTTAGGGTCTCAGATGTCTAAGGGTTAGACCGACTTGGAGTTTTCCAGACTTCCCCGAGCCCTGGGCCTCTTGAACGCGTGGCGAACGTACCTGCCGGACGGGGAGGAGGGGTCGGAGACCGCGTGGACCATGTCCGTAGACAGCGCGTCCAGAACGCTGGTCAGAAACTCATGCTTCTTGGCACCGGGACAACCTGGGGAAAACAATGTACACATTTTCATACTTCACAGAACTCGCAACGTGTAACAGATGTTTTCTGTAATGGAAAGAAACGTTGTTTGAGTATCTGGAAATTATTCTTCTGGACTGCCTTAATATTAATGAGCTAATCTGAACACTGGCAAACACACTGCAATGTGTATGTGCAGACATGCAGATTCCGAGCCCTAGTTGTTAGTGATTATGATATCTGACATTTTTTGAATTATTAGATGAGACTGTGATTCACGGGTCGTTCAGAGCTCGTGGGTCTTCAGAGCAGCAGCTGGGGGTCCGTGGCGCCGCTACCCAGTGCCATGCGTGAAGCACTATTCCTGGAAGCACCGGGAGTCCCGGCCACACCACGCGGACAGACGAGGAGACTGCTGGTCCAGGTGGGCCCGAGTGCAGCTCACCCCTGCCCTGCCCTTCCCAGAACGGCCTCGCTGGTCAGAAGACGAAGGAGAGGAGTGGGGGCAGGAGGATTGCTCTGAGCCTGACGCCGCTGCTCACACAGTTCGGCAGGTTTAGCGCCTGTGGCTCTGAGCTCGGAGATGACCATATACGACCCCCAGGGTCCAGGGGTGACGCAGTGACTCAGTTTATCCAAACCTAACGTTCTGAGACAGACCTGCCCACGCAGACAGCCTTGAACTGCCCTTTGCCTCTCACCCCAGCCTCCTGGAATTCCCCAAACTCCGTGCCTGGGGGGAGGGGAGAGTCTTTGCTCCCCGAGTTCAGGATAACTTTGTAAAGAGTCCGCCAGCTCACTCTGGGGTCCTTCCTGCCTGGACGCCCCTGGAGTGCTAGGATTACAGGCGTGAGCCTGTAACCTTTAGATTAAGGTCTAAAAAAAAAGACCTTAGTAGGCCGGGCGTGGTGGCTCACGCCTGTAATCCTAGCACTCCGGGAGCGCTCACTGCGGGTGGCGCCTGGTCGTGGGGCAGCCTGGGCGGTCCTCGCGCCCAGGACGGGCGACAGGAGGAACGGGAGCTGTCCCCACCGCGGCTGCCCTCCGGACGAGGAGAAGAGGCACAGTGAGCGTCCATGGGATAAACATGCAAAGGAAAGACAGAAGGCGCCATCCTTGCTTCGAGGATGAGCACACTGGGCTTGAGGAACGTGGTGGCGGGCGATCGATCACGGAGAGCGGGGAGGCAGGGGCACGCCGCGTCTGCGGATCCCACCAGCTCGCAGCTCAGCACGATGCAGCGAGGGGCTCTGTCCTGCCTCCCGCCCTAGCAGGTGCGGATGTCCAGGGCGCAGGCGGCAAACTCTCTCCTCACCATTTGTGTTTTGTTTAACTATATTTTTTGCCTAAAAAAAAAAGACCTTAGTAGGCCGGGCGCGGTGGCTCACGCCTGTAATCCTAGCACTCTGGGAGGCCGAGGTAGGAGGATTGCTCAAGGTCAGGAGTTCGAGACCAGCCTGAGTAAGAGCCAGACCCCGTCTCTACTAAAAATAGAAATAAATTAATTGGCCAACTAAAAATATATAGAAAAAATTAGCCGGGCGTGGTGGTGCATGCCTGTAGTCCCAGCTACTTGGGAGGCTGAGGCAGGAGGATCGCTTGAGGTCAGGAGTTTGAGGTTGCTGTGAGCTAGGCTGACGCCATGGCACTCACTCTAGCCCGGGCAACAGAGTGAGACTCTGTCTCAAACAAACAAACAAACAAACAAAGACCTTAGAAGAGTTTGGTAGAAGGAAGAGACCGACGTGAGAGGAACGAAGGAGAGAAGCCAAGGGGTCAGGACCAAAGGGACAGCTACCGGGCCTGCCCTGCCACGTGCCATGTTCCACGGTCCCAGCCACGAGCCTGGGCGGGCCACGGTGGCACCAGCTCCGGGCGTCCTCAGGCTCTGCTGCGGCTGCGGACATGCCACGCAGGTGCCCAAATGTCCAAACCCCCTGTGTCAGGGCGTCTGCTCGGACCGCCCTCGCCACAGCAACGAGGGCATTCACACCACACGGTGCGCCACAAGCTGACGTCTGCCGAATCCAGGTCCATTTTTTAATAAGAAAAGCTTTAGATGCTCCCTCCAAAGTCTCGGGTGTCTGCTCAGGGGCAGAAGACGAGAAGGTCTGCAGGGCCCACGGCAGGAAGACGTGTCCAGCTGAGAGGAGGGGCGGCTCCACGACCCTTCCCGGTGGCCCCCGGAGGAAGGAACCGGAACGCGAACACGCTCTCCCGGGAGACCACCGATGCATGGCCCACGGGGAGGCCGCGTGTCTCTCCGGAGCTCTGGGGCCGCAAGAGAACAGGTCAGGGCCCCCCGGCGGCCACGGGGGAGGCGGCCAAGTCACGTGGACACCAACACGCCGATGCCATTAAAGCCACTCTGGTTTCCGTACGTTCCCTTTTGACACTTGGGTTTTGTTGTCATCATTATTCAAGTGTGCGCTCCTGCCCCTAGCAGGGATCCATTTGCGCCTGTTTTCACTTCGTTAAACGCACACACCCGAAAACAGATGTGCACGGCCAACTGGGGGGGTGGGGCGGAACTTGGGGGTGAGAAGGCCGCTGCATGTCCGCTCTGCACACAACCGAGAAGCAGGTCACAACCCACAGGAAAACCCACGCCCGTGGGGAGAGCGCTGCTTTCCAAGAAGAAAGTTTATCCCATCAGGTGTCCCTTGGAAAGAAGTGGAAGCCATGGGCTCCAAGGGCTGGTGGCTCCGGCCGCTCCCGCCCCACCGCCCGCCATGGCCCGGGGTCCCCCAGGGGCGGGGATCCCGTCGAGAGGAGCAGGGACCATAGTGCCAGGTCTGAGGACACCTCCCGGCCACGCCTGGGCACACGGGGCAGAAACTCGTGAGGACGCCGCAGCCGCTGCCCGGCGAGGACCCTGTAGCTGCCGAGGAGGCCGGTCTTTGCGAATTCCCAACCCTCTGTCACCTTCCAGAGACCCCCGGAAGGATGCGAGGAAGATGAAGGAAATGCCATCATCTGGGAAAGGTCAGCACATTCAATCGTTCTCAGCACCGGACGGCTTTGAGAGAGAGCCATGCCTGTACCTGGGGCAGTGATGACACCACTGGGGACACAACAAGGGATGTTTATTGGCTGTTAATTTAATCCTGTCCCCCCACTGAGGTACAACAGCACAGCATTTTTAATTACAAAATAATATATATCTGTTATAAAACACAGGGTTGGCATCCTATATAAAGCTGCAGGACTCTAATGCAAAAAGGAAAATTTAACACAAAAGGTATAATCTACTTTTAAAGCAATAAATACTAACTCAAGCCTGCTCACGTGTTTCTTTAAATCGTGGTATGCGTTACATGCTGTGAAGTGCACGGATCTTCCTGCTAAAGATCTCATTTCATAGGGAAGAGATACTTAGGATCCAAAAAGGGAGTATTTTTTATTTTCATTTGCAAAGTCACTGAACTTCATTTTGAGTAAAGCCAAGGGAAAAATGAGTTAGGTTCAGAAAGGCGGAACTGCCACATGTCCGTGACGTGCAAAGTTGTTCTGTCTCGTGCTTTACGGAGACATACGTGTGGCTGGCATGAATAGTTGGAGGCCACACACATGAAACCCACCTGCCGTGGGAAACCCTGGCCGGAGGGTCCCCTCACCCCACAGGTCCTGGGAACCCGGCGGAGGTGCCCAGACCCAGGGCTGAGCGGAGTGTCCCGGCACCTTGCATCACCTGACAGGTGACAGGGACGACAGTTCACCTGTACCTGAGAAGACGGCTGCTGCAGCTGTGAGGACGGCTGCGTATGAGGTGGGAATAGCTTGTGTCACCCCCAAATCGGCTGGGAGGATAAGCAGGGAAGTGGTGGCACTTACTGGGACAGGCTTACTCATGAGAGTGCGGATCCCGGGACATGGGGTGGGAGCCCGGGGGCGGGAACAGAGCGGGCACCTGCCTGTCCAGGTGTCCCCGCCGGGGTTCATCTCCCCTCACTCGGCTCACGCCTGCTATTCACGGAGAGCCGAGGTCCCTTGTCACCTTCACCCTAGAACCTGGGATGACCCTTCTTTCACTATGAGGGTGGTTGTACTTGAAAGCTATTCTGATGGGGGAAAAAAGGCAAATAAAAATGTAAAATGAGAAGAACTCGGAAGGAAGAAAACTAAGAAATCCGTGAGAGTGAATTCTCACCATACAGGGAGCGACAGAAATGTCTCGAAGTGAGCGATCCGTCGCTGGGAAATGCCCGGGTCTCGTAGATGGACAAAGGAACAGCACGGTTTGGAGCAAAGAAGGAAACCGCCCCACGGCATCAGGGTTCCCCACTGCCAAGCCCGGGGAGACGTGCGGCTCCTCCTGACAGCTCAGTGACAGGCAGAGACCCTGGTCCCTTGCGGGGGACCGGCCCCTGTGCCTCCCACTGCGGCTCCCACCTCCCAAGCCGCCCTGCCCTCGGGCTCTGGCAAAGGCCAGCTGGGAGCGCTGGGCTCGGTCCATTCCCGCACTCGCTCCTCCCTCTCTGCTCCCACAGGGACTCCTGGGGAAGTCGAGGCATCAGAGATCGAAGAGGAAACTGCACAGGGAAGAGACGTCTTTAAACCAAACCCCACAAACACGTGTGATCACACATTTTTCACGTTCGGGCTATTGGCTCTTGCTGAACTTGGAAAGTCTACTTAAAATCATGAATTGCCACCAGTTAAAAAGCGCTCTAATCTCAGGGGTTCCACGCCCAGCCAGAGCACACAGCTCTTTCTACTTAGTACTTTCCTGTTTATTGAATGTAGAGCTTCTGGGTTTCAGTCCAGGCAGAGATTTTCCCCCGAAGCGCTATTCAAGGGGCGTGTCTGGGGCCTGGGGGGCCCCATGACGGGCTTTGCACAGCCCACCGCCTGCCTTTGCACACGCTTCCCCTGCGCAGTTGGTGCAGACATCTCTGACATGCAGCTTCCACCCGCCCCACACCCAGGCCTCTCCGTGATCCAGCAGAACTGGTATTTGAGAGAGAGAGAGAGAGAGAGAGAGAGAGAGAGAGAGAGAGAAAGAGAGAGAGAGAGAGAGAGAG